TTATAATGTTACAAAAGATTTCTATTTCAGATAAATAGTGTTCATATCGATATCGGAATTATATCGTATCGACCGAAATTAAGAAATATATCGTGATATCAATTTTGGCCATATCGTCCAGCCCTAATTTACAGTATATGAATCACTTGAATATTGTTTGAATACTTGTATGAACAAACAGCTGAAGTCACAACTGCATTCAGGTAACCTTAGTGAAAGTATCAAAGATGGCGATGTCCATAACACCACGAAGTTTTATCAGAATCGACTGTGCGTTAAATAATCAGTCCAGCTGAGGCGCGAGTTTATCCATCAATGACTTTCTACCTATTAGATTGTGTTTTTTTAAGGTCTACACCTACCCCAACCCTAAACCTACCCCTCGCAATAATGCAAAAACAGTAATTATTGTTGTACAGTGTGACAAAAATTACGCTATATTGATGTGCGCATGCCCAGTAGTTTTAGCTGTATCCCTTCTAGGCTTAACCAAGCTCTGGTAGATCTTCAGAATTATACAGTTCAGTGTGGCAGACAACTAGTTGTCCAGTGTGGTTTTGTCATTCAGCGCGAATGGCGGAAAATGTGCGCTATTGCTAGTGTTCGGTTATAGAATGCGGTTGTCACACTCGCAAAAAGCCTGTATGAACACAACTATATTAAGCATAAATAGCCATTAGCGTCTGATCCAGTGAGTCTTGTTTTGCATGAAATATGTCAGTCATCCTGATTAAGGATGAACGTAAACTGTGTGACGCGTTGACACATTCCACGCAAATCGACTTATTTTTGTAATCGATGTAATCGATCAGCTCTAGTTCAGAGTGCAAAATATCCGTTTCATGAAATACGCCAGAGTGTATGTAAATCTACTTTTCATTGCTCAGTCAAAATGCTTGTTGAAGGAGGCCTATTTTAGTGTTCACTTAACTCGCTTTTCTGTGAGACCCTAGTGCTTTCCTTGAGGTTACTCAAAGGTAAATGGCTTAATGTTGAAAAAGAATGCCTGTTTACTCAACCACATCTCCTCTGTAGATGCTTTTTATAGCAGCGAAAAGAAAACTCAGAGGCAGTACAGAATGGTAAAATCAGTTGTTTGTTTGTATGTCATGTGCTTGTTGGTGTGTGCTTAGGGCTGCACGATTAATCGAAATTAAATCGCAAAGGCGATAAATTGTGATTAGGCAGAAGCTGCGATTGTCAAGCGTATCTTTCAGTGAAGCACGGTTCTGTGATCAGCAGTAAATCTCCATCCGAAGTCCAGAGGGCGCTCTCGCGCTGAAACTTCAAATACGCCTCGTTGAGTATATATGTTGCGTGCCTTATTCTGTGTAAGAAGCCACATCATCTCACAGAAGGATTTATTTCAAACACTCGACTGACGTTATAAAGTGATTTTGGAGTAAAAACATGTTTTAAAATGTGTTTTTAAATGTGGTATTTTCACATGCTTTCAGGTGGAGCAGCATTTACTACACAGAGCCGTAGTTCACTGACAAGCTACGCAAACAGCTTTCATAATCCAAAACGATTTCTTCGATTTCATAATCGCTCAATTAAATCGTCTGTGATTATGAACGCGATTTTGCGTAGCTTGTTAGTGAACAATGGCTCTGTGTATTAAATGCTGCTCCATCTGAAAGCACGTGCTGGAGATTTACAACTAATCACAGAACCGGCTTTACTGACAAGATGCGAATGACAATCGCGTTCGATTAATCGTGCAGCCCCATGTGTGCTGATACACTTATTGGTCAAATTCCCAAGGGAACCACGAAAAAGAAATGGAAAACCAAAAATTTGGGATATCTTCATTCAGCACTACACCGCTGTATCTCTCCACAAATCCTTCCTCAGACTAAATCCACACATTTTTTAGTCTCCATTTCAGTCAAGTTGCCCTTCTTTTTCAACATCAGACAAACGTAGCTCAAATAATCACCCCAGTCGGTTGAAATAAAGGTGAACAAAGTTATATGTTTCAAAACGCCAGCTTTGTCGTCTTGTTAAACAATAATGATCTAACAACGAATAACGTTTTTAGTGCTCAAGCGAGAGGGAAGGAGCCATCTGATTATCAGCAGCTCAGACGAGATGAGGACACTCGAGGGCAGTTCAGT